CATGTAAAATATCTAAATATTAAAATTAAAAATACAGTGTTTAATAAGAACTAGTAGATGCTATAATAAAATAATTTTGAAAGTATAATGATGTAGTAAGAAAGTCACATCAATATAGTACATGTAGACAGCCTACGTGGACAATGGGGTGGCATGAAAACCTAGTATAATGGGTAAATTTAAATCAAAATGTTACCCAATGCTATAATGGGTAAATTTTTTAAAGTATAATGTCCTAATAAAAAATAGTTTGAAAGTACATTGTTGTAATAAGAAAAATTGAAAGTACAATGTTATAATAAAGATATTTATGAAAGTAGATTGCTATTTTGTGCATTTTGCCCTAAATGTATTTTCAAATAATTTTATAATGTATTTTTATAAGACAATATAATTTTAATTATATTAAAACGTATTTTTAAAGTGTATTTGAGTGACCAAATTGTAAATTTTATAATGTATTAAAAATATATATCATTAAAAGAATAAAAGAATCTTATTTTTTAATGCTGGGATCGACGGCCCATAACCGGTTATGAAGTACCTTGACTTGTCCTACCATTTTCAACCGGGACCGGTTATAAGAAAGCTTGAGACCGATTAGGCCCGATCCGAGATCCGTTTTTGGCCATTACTACTTGTAAGTTGTAACGGATGTAAATTTAAAGATGTGATATTATAGGGGCCGAAGTATTGTAATTTGTAATTGTAAATAGTAATATAATGGGCTGTAGTTATTTTGTGGTTAGGTCCAAATTGAGATAAAAGCCCAATGGGTATATATTAGAAAAAGTGGCCACCAAACCCATGTCATGTATACTTCATGCCCAACACTAAAAATGTTTTTTAAGATTTAATTTACTTAACGAGACTTTAAATTTATAGAAACATGAATTACATGTCATATGTAATTGTATCACAATAAACTAATATGACGAGTTTAACAAGTTCCATGAATGAAATTAAGCAAACCTACTAAAACATAAAAAGTAAATCGTCCAATTCACCTTTTTATACAATAAGTTTGAAAGGTGTCTTATTAGTCCTTCTATATATAGGATATATTTCAAAAGTTTCGTATAAAAAGACTAATAAGAAGATTTACATTTATGTCCTATTAGGTTGCACAATTCTGCCAACATAACTTGTTAGGCCGTCTAATTCGTGTTAAGAACTTATCGTAACACCATTTTATACGAGTACAATTTGTGATTCCATAAACTTAAAGTCATTCAATTAAGACATACGTGTATCTGAAATATGAAAATATTGCATGGAAGAAGTTATAGGTTTCTATTTTGACATGATCGTGTTGCAAACAGAGCATTACACATACCTAAAATATATGGAGTTTGAATATCACCATGACTAATAAATTATCGAACAACAACTTTGGCTTTTCACCTCTTCGATGTGGCATTAGGGTTTTAAATAAAACGGAAATTTCTGTTTACCCTTTTGGTTTTGTTTTGTTCCAAAAAGACATAAATATATGAACGATTGGTCTTTGTTATGTTTTTTTTTGTTTGTGAAGACAATACATTGACAATGACAACTCTAGTTTCATA